ACTTCAGCAAAGTTTCAGGATACAAGATCAGTGTACAAAAATCAGTAGTATTTCTATACACCAATAAGATTGAGACCCAAGTTAAGATCACAATCCCACTTTCAAAACACACACACAAATACGTATAATACATTTAACCAAAGAGGTGAAAGATCTCTAAAAGGAGAACTAGAAAACACTGCTGAAAGAAATCATAGATGACAAAAAATAGAAAAATATTCCATGCTCCTAGATTAGAAGAATCAACATCATGAAAATGACCAGACTCCCGAAAGCCATCTACAGATTGAATGCTATTTCTATCAAACTATCAGTGTTATTTTTCACAGAAATAGAAAAAAAATTACTCTAAAAATTTATTTGAGAACGAAAAAGAACCTTTATAGCCAAAGCATTTCTAAGCAAACAGGCAAAGGAATAGACAGCACGTTACTCAACTTCAAACTATACTACAGGGTTACAATAACTGAAACATCATGGTACCAGTACCAAAAATACCAGTACAAAAACAGTCACATAGACCAATGGAGCAGAATAGAGAACCCAGAAACAAAACTACACACCTACAGCCATCTGATCTTCTACAAAGTCAGCAAAAAATAAGCAATGGGGAAAGGACTCCTAATTCAATAGATGGTGCAGGGTTAGCTGGCTAGCTATATGTCGACAAATTAAACTAGGCTTCTCCCTTTCACCATGTCCAAAACTTAACTCAAATGAATTAAAGATTTAAATGTAAGACCTGAAACCATAGGAATCCTAGAAGAAAACCTAGGAAACACTATTCTGTACTTTAGCCTTGGGAAATAATTTATGACTAAGTCTTGAAAAGCAACTGCAACAAAAACAAAAATTGAAAAGTGGGACCTAATTAAACAAGCTACTGAACCACAAAAGAAACTATCAAAATAGTAAGCAACAACCTACAGAATGTGAGAAACTATTTCTAAACTATGCAGCTGACAAAGATCTAATATCCAGAATCAATAAGGAACTTAATTCAACAAGCAAAAAGCAACCAACCCCATTAAAAAGTCTGCAGAAGACATGAACAGAGAGTTCTGAAGACATTCAAGCAGCCAAAAAACATGAAAACACAACTTCACCAATCATCAGAAAAATGCAAATCAAATCACAATGAGACATCATCTCACACCAATCAGAAAGGCTACTTTTTAAAAACCCTTTGCATGTTGTTACTGTTTTTGTTCTTTAGCTACCCCAGGTAGCTTCAGTGGTAGTCAGCTCCACTGCCCTGCTAGACCTTCTCTAAACATTAATAGCCAACATTCTTATAAGAAAGTTTTTATACAAAAGGAGGTGTTACACAAAAGCGGGGAAGGTTAAGCTACTGTACGCATTTATTTGCAATGTGTCTTCTCACAGAACTCATCCTTGTAGCCCCATCAGGGCGGGAGCCCTCTTCACATGTCTTCATAATATTTCATAAGGGAGGCCATTTTCCACAGTGCTTCAGCTCTCAAATGCAAGTGGAGCCTGACATAGTAACACTTTGTTTTCATTTCAGCCATGCTGCCGGGAATATATTTCATATGTATTAATAGGTTGTAACAGTTTTCTAGGGCTTTGATAACACAGTACACATACTGAAGGACTTTACAGAAATTTAGTGTCTCGTCATTCCAGAGGCTAGGAATCTGACATCAAGCTGTTGGCCGAGGTTACTTCTCAGAGGCCACTCTCTCTGGCTAGTAGATGGTCATCTTTTATGTCTGTGGTCACAGGATGTTTTCTTGAGCTTCTCTGTGCACCTACTGCTTTTTCTAATGAGGACACCAGTCAAATGGCTATTACTAAAAAGTCAAAAAGCAACAGATGCTGGGGAAGCTGCAGGGGAAAGGAAACACTTCCACACTGTTGGGGGGAATATAAATTAGTTCAGCCTTCATAAAAAGCAGTTTGGAGATTTCTCAAAACAGAGCTACCATTCCACCCAGCAATCCCATTACTAGGTATATATCCAAAAGAAAATAAATCATTATACCAAAAAGATACCTACACTCCTATGTTCATCATAGCACTATTCACCATAGAAAAGACATGGAATCTACCTAGGTGCCCATCAATGGTGGAGTGGATAAAGAAAACAAGATGCATGTACACCGTGGAATACTACACAGCCATAAAAATAATGAAATAATGTTCTTCCCAGCAACATGAATGCAGCTGGAGGCTCTTATCATAAGCGAATTAATGCAGGAACAGAAAATCAATACTAAATGTTCTCACTTTTAAGTGGGAACTAAACAATGGGTATTTATTAAAATAAAGATAGAAATAATAGACACTGGGGATTACTAGAGGGGGAAGGAAGGGAGGGGGAAAGGGTTGAAAAACTGACTGTTGGGTTCTATTTGGGCTTACTATTTGGGTGATGGGATCATTCATATTCCAAACCTCGGCATTGCACAGTATACCCATGTAACAAAACTGCACATGTACTCCCTGACTCTAAAATAAAAGTTTAAATTATAAAAAAAGAGAGTTTCTAGGAAGTATTTTTAAAAGTATTTCAAAGAAAAATAAAATGTAATAGGGATATGATTCACTGAAGTTTGATTATTAACTACTGAATAATGTAGTTTTGACAATGTTTTCACATGAATTAGTTATATGGAATTATGCTAAATTACTTTCAGAAACATAATGGCATGCACAAAGATGTCTGGAGATGAAAGTGGCACTCAGATGATGAACTTTGAAGTTATGTTTTAATAACCAAACTCTAATGAAATCACAATTTGTCAAAAATTCAACAACACTGGGATATATATTTTGAAATATAGTAAACTCTATCAATGATAGTAGACTGGTGAACATTTAGTAAATACTGATTTGCACCTTCCAAAAACATGTTTTTCTCTTATCAAAGTCAAGTTTGTGATTTGGCAAACTGAGAGTTGGAAGCAAAGTTGGAAGAGTTGGAAGAAAAATAATTCATATAAAGTTAAGAAGCCTACTAATAAGTAATTTGGGTTTTATATCATTACTCTAAAATGGAATCTGGACTATTAAACCATAAGATTATTAAACTAACAACTCTATATCACATCTTGTATTTAAATTGATTTTTGTTATCACAAGAATTGTTTAGGTTGTAGTAATTGCTATTAGCTCTCTTAATTAGATAATTGAATTTAATTCAATTATTTTTGTTAGGGGCTATGCTAAAATATTCAAGCTGTCTTTAAGAATTAAAGGAAAGTTTCAAAGTAAACGTTAAAAATAGAAGTCATATGAGACATGCTATAGTTGTATTTTCAAATTCAGAAAGCTGAGGCAGCACATTCACAAAATGTGAGTGGAGAGATGAAGGTGGATTAAGTCTGGATTTAAAAATGAGATATGCTGCTATGGCTCAATTGCAGAATGGCATTAACACTTATGAGTCTCTTTCTTGTTTGTCTCCATGGATGTGTTATAATTGGGTCATCTATATTTTCAGCAGTTAAAGCCTGTTATTTCTTGTGGCTTATGAATGTTGTAAATTCTTTTGACTACTTTTTGTTGTACTATTCTTGTGAAAGTCATACCATGACAAAATTCTATCAGTAGAAAATTTGATCCTGTGTGAATACAGAGTATTACATAAATCCAACAAAACAATTTGCAAACTAAAAAACATACTCATCTTAATAAGACTTTCATAATATTTTTATTAATCAATGACTAAAATGTGTACCTTTTAAAGATTTTAAAATAAATTGCATTGATTTCATTATTTTTCCATTGCTGAGATTTTTTATAATGAGAATTTTGTTGAACTGGCATGCAAGCCTAGGCTTCAGTTGACCATCTATTTTCTAAAGATGATAATGGAATGACCAGACCCTAACTACCATGAGTTCAAATCTTGGCTTCACTTTCAATTTCACCTGGGTGATTTGAGAAATTAACTTACTCTTTCTGGGTATTAGTTTCCTTATCTAGAGAATGGGGTGTATAATCATACCTGCCCCATAGAATTGTTATGAGGATTAAATGAGTTAACATATGTAAAACATTTGGGACTGGGCTGGCATCTAGTAACCACTCTATAAATATTAGCTACTATTATGTGTAAAAGAGATCCCCTAAATAGTTTTATACATAGGTACTCAGAGTTGGTTTGGATTTAAAGACCTTTCCTTATGATAAGTTGATTGAGCAAATGCAGATTTAGATGCAAAATGAATCATTCAATCAATTTTCAAAGATTTGGAGACAAGAAAAGACTAAGACATTGAAGCAGGTTGTTTTTTGAGTTCCTCTGAAGTTTTTTATTATTCATTCAAACAGTTTATAGAGCTTTCATGAAGTGCCAGACCCTGAGCCAGATGCTAGAGTTTCAAAGCCCTTGGCCCCAGGGATCTATGGTTTATTTACAGAGAGACAAGGAAGCACACTATTCTAAAACAGCATGGTGAGAGCCACCATAGAAGGAATTGTGGGTGCTGCAGGTGCCTCAGTGTCCACAGCAAGCAGATAACCCAGGCACCGGCAGGGTGCTGCAAGGAGGAGTGGGATGAAGCCTTCCCAGTGGAGGGAGACCAGGACTCCAGTGAGCAGGCCAGCTGTGGATATCATGAACAGGAGGAGGAAAGCATCCTGCCCCTAGCAGGCTCCCCGTCAGCATGCCTCTGGCCATCACACATGGGGAAAGGAAGTAGCAAGGGTCTTGCTACAAGGTCAACAAAGGGGAAATTTACCTAACTCATCTGAAATTGGTCTAACAGACAAAATATTCCAAAATGCTTTGGTAGTTCTATGGCTTGATGTTTATAAAGGCTTTCAGAGGCAGCTGGCCATTTTATAAAGCACCATACTGTGTGCACCTAGTGAGGAGTGAGCAGTGTGGCTGTGGACCAGCGGGTAGAAGTTACAGAGAGCAAAAAGGGGAGAAGCAAGCCTCAGGTTGAACTGACCAACCTAGAAAAAGGTTGAGCATGTTGCTTTACATACATATGATGACCCAGTAACTTTTCTTTGGTTAATTTCAGCTCCCTCAGAGGCCCCTGATGTCTGGAGAAATGTGAACTCAGAGCCAGGAAGTCACATTGTGACCTTATTCTGGAAGGTAGGATGTGCAGATTCCAAAAGTCACATTTGTGGAAACAAATATGTCTTCCTCGGTAGAACGGTGGCTTGGTTCAGTGTTTTAACTGGAAGGCATCTTCACTTTCATCCAATAGAATTTCCTACCTAGTAGAAGATTCCCACTCCACTTTTTTGACAGCTCATGCCACTGATTGCCAGTTCTGACTGGTAGAACATTCTTCTCTACAACTTCAACTCAGGCCAGCCCTGATTTTTGCAGGACCCAGGGCAAAGGTGTAAGTGAACAACCACATTTCCTAGTTAAAAGTTACACATATTTCAAGGCCGGGCATGGTGCTCACACCTGTAATCCCAGCACTTTAGGAGGCTGAGGTGGGCGGATCACAAGGTCAGGAGATCAAGACCAGCTTGACCAACATGGTGAAACCCTGTCTCTACTAAAAATATGAAAAATAGCTGGGTGTGGTGGTGCATGTCTATAATCCCAGCTACTCGGGAGGCTGAAGCAGGAGAATCTATTGAACCTGGGAAGCGGAGGTTGCAGTGAGCCAAGATCATGCCACTGCACTCCAGCCTGGGTGACAAAGACTCCATCTCAAAAAAAAAAAAAAGTTACACATATTTAAACATTCATACTATTTATATTTAAAAGTTATAAATCAAGCTTAAACATTGTAATGTCAAATAAATTTCATCCCTCTATCTTGCCTAAAATACCTTCATGACAACCTGGAAGGCCAAGTTTGTATACTGAACTCTATGATGCATCATTTTCACATGGAAACATGGTGATGCTGGGAGAGTGAGCTCTGATCACAGCCTACCCCACTTTTTTTCCACCTTTAGTTTGGCACACTCTGCAAGGATCTCTGTGCACAGACATGTGGACATGCCAGTCTGCAAGTCCGGATTCTGTCCACACCCCAAGCAGATAGCCACTCCCCGCCCACTCTGAGGTCTGGTGGTACACACGCCAGGAGAGGGGAGGCCTGAGGAACAGACCCTAAAAGTGGGCTTGGCACTGTGTGGGCAGGAATTTCTCTGCAACCTGAGGGTTATCCAGAGGAGGGCTCTGAGTATGGAGAGCAGCTAATCCCTGTACAGCTGCACGGGGACAGCACAGCTGGAGGTTGGGTGAGGCCAGGACCCAGGCTCCTCCTCAGGGTCCCAGGGTGGCACCATTTGTACTCATTGCTTTTCTACCCTTGGCTACCCCTTACATCTTTCTTTCTGCCATGTTAAAGAGTCTCTTCCTTGTGATTCCCGACCTGAGCACTCTTAGGACACATAACACTCTTGATGCTCTTAACTCCAAATGATCCTCTTCTCTACTCACCTTCAGTTAGATTCCAGTGTCTGATTTCAGGCTATTTTCTCTGTTAAGCTGTTTGAATTTGCTGTGTGTGTGTGTGTGTGTGTGTGTGTGTGTGTGTGTGTGTGTGTGTGTGTGTGTGTGCGTGAGCGTCTGTGTGTTTATGGGAGTTGAGGGACAGAAAAGATGAAAAGAGAATTGTACAAACTCCTTTCAATTAAAACCATTTTTAAAATGTTTATCAATATTTTTCAGCCTTTATCAAAATGGCATGCCAAAGGAAAGATCCTGTTCTACAATGTAGTTGTGGAAAATCTAGACAAACTGTCCAGGCCAGAGCTCCACTCCGTTCCTGCACCGGCCAAAATCACAAAACTAACTCTCGACCAGCGTTCCTACCGGATCTGGGTCACAGCCAGCAACAGTGTGGGCACCTCTCCTGCTTCTGTAATAGTTATCTCGGCAGACCCTGAAAACCGTGAGTTTGTTCATTTTCTTTCTGATTCTCTAGGAAAATGTTGACGACGTTATAAAGTAGTGATAGATAATTGAGAAGACAATAACTTAAGAAGACAAAATGTCTAGTCACCAAACAGTCCTTTTCTTTTGGGCCAGGTGTGTCAACATGTTTCAGTGGGAGAGTCCCTTCAGTGTGGGGAGGAGACTTTAGCCAGGGTTCAGGACATTTCTGTCTAGAGGATTCTTCAACATACTTGGGGAAATTATCTCAGGTTTATTCAAGTAAACGCATCCCAGCAAACAGTCACCACTGAGAGTGGGAGTTAATATTCATGAGCTTTGTGGCTTGTGAAATATGGATTGCATTTACTATTTTGTAAAATGTGTTTTCAGTCTTTGTACCTGGAAAGAGCCCAGGAACATTTCCAGAGATCATCAGAACTGGCATCAACTTTCACCAGGGGCTCAGCTAACGTTATAGAATAAAAGATAGTTACTAGCTAATCTCTTGCCTATGAAAGAGCAAACAAGGTGGAATGGCCTTCCATGCCAAACCAATAGTGGTATTAATTTCCTTCTTAGCCATAAAAAGAGTTAGCCTCACAGTTACATGCTATGAGATGATACACACATGTGCATACATAATGCAGTTGGCAAGTGGCATCCTGGGATCCTTCACAAACCTTGCAATAATATCACCCTTCAGTTCTTGCTATTAAAATTTCTAGACCCTGCTTATGAGGTTATGGTAGGTTCTGTGGTACATATTTATTCAAGTTCAGCTTAAATTTGGGTTAAGTGAATTGGATTAGAGGATGTTTCATTATTTATTTATTTATTTGAAAATAAATAATAAATAAATAAACTCCAGGCTAGAGTGCAGTGGCACTGTCCCGGTTCACAGCAACCTCCACCTCCCGGATTCAAGCAATTCTCCTGGCCCAGCCTCACGAGTAGCCAGAATTACAGGCCCCTGCCAGAACGCCTGGCAATTTTTTTTTTTTTCATTTTTAGTAGAAACTGGGTTTCACCATAATGGCCAGGCTGATCTCAAACTCCTGACCTCAGAGGGTCCATCCGCCTTGGCCTCCCAAAGTGCTGGGATTAAAGGTGTGAGCCACTGTGCCCAGCCAGTTATTTTTATGTTTTTAAAAGAACTATCCAGTATGTATCAGATGAGGAAAAGAAATTATATTGTGCCATAGAAGAAAAGCTCTAGGGGTTGGTTTAGGAGTTGTTTAGTGTAACCTTTGCTTTCTGAAGAACTGTATTAAAGAAGTTATATTCTGACTTCATTAGGATCTGAACAAGAAAATAGAACATTTCATTGCACTGAGGGGAACTGGTACTGTTGATTTTGAACTGGTCTCAGGCGAGTCCAAAGCAACACTGCTGAGAGCAATTATGTATTTTGGGGTCTTCTACCATACCCTCCATCCTCATGCCATGCCTTCGGATGCCTAGACCTTCCATTGTGAGGCTCCAGCTAGCTATCCTTAAGCACTATATGTTTCCCTAGGGTGCGAATAACTGACAAAAAGATTTTCCTACTCTTTCATTTACCTCCATCTCTCAAAACATATTTTCAAATTTAAAGAAGCAGATTTCTAAGAGTTTTAACCCTGGTTTTGGAGTTAAATTTTACTCAGCATCAATAAGTAAAGTGAAGTCAGCATTAATATGTGAGGGGCATTTGTCTGCTTGATGAAGGAAGGCAGGGAAGTCATGTGGATGGGATCTGTAATGCCCTCCTGGGCATTTACCTTTTACCTAGGGCTACGCGTTCCTTTGGGTTCCCCCAGCTGGATGATATTTGGATGCCCTTTAAAAAATGAATCAGTTGTAATTAGGATTGCCAGATAGAATGCAGGATGCCCAGCTAAAAATGAATTACAGACAAACAATAAATCAGTTCTTAGTGTAAGTCTGTGGAAAGAGGAGAAATTCACATGCCTCAAGGTTAAGGTATCCCTTTGTTGGAACTCAGGAGTTCCCTGAGGTTGTGTCACCCTTTTTCCAGTTGTCAGACATCAGGAAACCTACTTTAACTTATAAAATAGGTTAAGATGGCAGCATTAGTCATAAACTGTGTGCATATCCTCATATAACCCAACTGTTTATACACCTGAATGTTGTCTTTTCTTCAACTCAATTCCTACCCCTAGCGCCTCATAAGCAGTATCTACTTCAGGGGCAACTGATACTATTGTGGGAAAATTAACCTGCATTAGTTATTCATTCAACAGGTGTTTTTTGAAGCTGATCCAGTACCTAATACGAGATTGTAGATCAAGGATCAACACATTTTGTGGTAAAGGGGCAGATAGCAAACCTTTTTGCAGGCCATACAGTCACCGTCACATATTCTATTATATACATTCTTGTTGGTTTATTTGTATTTTTGAAACTCTTAAAAAGTCTTAGAACCATTCTCAGCTCAAAGGTCATATGAAAACAACCCTCAGAGGCTGGAATCATCATATTGGTGGTAGTTTGCTGACCCCTGTCCTAGGTGCTGAAGTTGGTTGGGCTTCAGAAGGTCAACATGATGAGCATCTGAAGGGCAGGTGTGAATATTTGCTGGGAAGTAAGAGGCAGGAGGAACTCACCCATTGAAGCATCCCCCACCCAAGTACCTGTAACTATTGAAATGGAGGTCTGTTACGTACTAGATACAGTGCATGTATATGTTTACTTTCTACCTTACACACTTAAAACAATTTACAGTTAACTAAATCTGGATCATTGCTCTATTACAGTGCATGTATATATTTATTTTCTAACTTACACACTTAAAACAATTTACAGTTAATTAAATCTGAATCATTGCTCTATTTTTTTTATATACAGAAGAGGTTGAGGAAGAAAGAATTGCAGACACAGAGGGTGGATTTTCTCTGTCTTGGAAACCCCAACCTGGAGATGTTGTAGGCTATGTTGTGGACTGGTGTGACCATCCCCAGTATACACTCTGTGATCTCCAGTGGAAGAATGTAGGTCCCAATGCCACAAGCACAGTCATTAGCACAGGTAAGAGGAACCTTCAATATCATCACATTACTATATTCACGGTGAAGCAAATTCCAGTGGGATCTCTGGACTGTTTCACAGACTTTGACTATGCTAAGCTAATACTTTTGAAACAACAAATCCAGCATAGGTGTTAGGAGTTCAGATGTTACAAGAATATGTTCTAAAACTTGCCCTTTAAATCCACTTTTGCAGAGAACATCTGAACATGAGGTGGGAATTGATTTTCACAAGCTTGTTTCTCTAAATTAGTGCCTAGTCACCAATGGCAGAGGGACATTATAACAGTTGTCCAGAGGCTTTTACAAAAGCAGAGACTTGCATGGATTTGGAAGATGTTTAAGAAATAGAGTTGATGAGAGTCAATCATGATCTTCAGTTTCAATAGAACATGGAGAACTTGTTCTCTTACCTCCCACGTTGGATATGTAATGTGAAGATTGCTAGTTTAGCAGTCAGAGGAGCACAGGTTTGTGTGGCTTGAGCTGGAGGGGTGGGTGGCGCCATCTACTGGGCTCAGGGAAAGGTGTGGGAAATGTCCCTCTTCAGAGGATGATCAAGGCCCCACCAATTTCAGTGGTACGGTGGGTTCGGTAAGGAGTTTGCAGAGGTAAAGGTGTGAGAGGGAAATGAGGAAGTGGAAGCAAAGCTTTCAAGACTATTGGCTTTAACGGGAAAAAGGAAGACAAGGAACTAGAAGGGGATTTGGAGTCAAAGAAGGGTTTGAATGGTTTTCTGTGTCTGGTCTGATTCTGCACCCAGTTCTATGCACATGGATACAGGCATGTTTGACAGCTCTTGCTTCAGAGGATACTACAGAGACCAGTCCCTGCAGGCTTTGCTGGAGACAAGACAGTGGGGCCAGATGTTTGCAACATGGAGGACTCCAAAGCTTCATGGAAGGAGGGAATATGATGGGGATGAAATGCAAAATTCCTGAAAGGCCATTACTAGGGGAGCAGAAATTTATTTTTCTTTTTTCTTTTTTTTTGAGACAGACTGTTGATCTGCTACCCAGGCTGGAGTGCAGTGACTTGATCTCAGCTCACTGCACCTCTGCCTCTTGGGTTCAAGTGATTCTCCTGTCTCAGCCTCCCCAGTAGCTGGAATTACCGGTGCCCACCATTACGCCCGGCTAATTTTTGTATTTTTAGTGGAGACGGAGTTTCACCATGTTGGCCAGGCTGGTCTCCAACTCCTGGCCTCAAGTGATCAGCCTGCCTCAGCCTCCCAAAGTGTGGAATTACAGGCGTGAGCCACAGTGCCACGCCTTTTCACTTGTTTTCTTTTCAGAATTAGGAAACGTCATTCTGTGTTATTAAAAATCTGTTGACTTTTTTTCCCTAGATGCGTTTAGGCCAGGAGTTCGATACAACTTCAGAATTTATGGGTTATCTACAAAAAGAATTGCTTGTTTATTAGAGAAGAAAACAGGATACTCTCAGGAACTTGGTAAGTTCAAAGTATTTAATGTGCCCCATGTGTAGACTTGTTCAGAACAATTCATAGATTCCTAGCTTTTGGTTTAGGAAGATGTCAGCACCATACCCAATTTTTGGTGTCCCATTTATTCTAGCAATTGGGTTTTTTAAATTATTTTTTAATCATACTAACATAAAACATTTTCATTAATTCTTATTGCTAAGTCTCTCATTTTCTTCCTTTGTTCAGTCTCTTATACCCTATCACACAAATCAGACTAGTTCTCAGGGGTTCTTCCTTTAGCAGGAGCTGACCCACAGTTTATAGTTGGGTCAGAGCAGGCAGGAGGAATGTGACCTTGTGTGCACACTCCAAGTGTGCATAGCGTGGATAGGAAAATGGCCTCAGCAAAGCCTCAAAGTAAACATTCCTGGATTGTTTTTCAGTGACACTTGGATAACTATGCACTGCCACAACCTTCCCTCCCTCCATCCCTTCCTTCCCTTTCTTTCCTTCCTTCCCTTCCCTTCCCTCTCTCTCTCCCTCCCTTCCTTCCTTCTTTTTTTTTTTTTTTTGGCTTTGTGACCGTGTACAAGTTATTTAGTCTCTGGGTGTCCATTCTTCATCTGTAAATGGCAAGACTTGAACAAGACTGCTCAACTCCTTCACAGCTCTCATAAACTATCAAGGCACAAATCCTCTAGAGAAACAGATAAAACTCCTTAACTTAGCATAAGCTCTTACAACCTCCAGAGCTGTCTGTGGTTCTTCTATTAGTTGACATGAATGTTCTCAGACTATTTCTAAATCATGACTTTTCTCTTATCCCAACTTCTTTTTCTAGCTCCTTCAGACAACCCTCATGTGCTGGTAGATAAGTTGACATCCCATTCCTTCACTCTCAGTTGGAAATATTACTCTACTGAATCTCAACCTGGTTTTATACAAGGGTACCATGTCTATCTGAAATCCAAGGCGAGGCAGTGCCATCCACGATTTGAAAAGGCAATTCTTTCAGGTGACATGTATTTTTAATTAATTTATTAAGATCTCATTATTTGAAATCATTGAAAATAATGGCTGCCATCTAATGGCTGCCATCTCAGACTGGCCAGGCTTAATTCTCTTCTTGCATGACTTTATACTGAAAAGGTGTTCTTAAGCAAATTAGTAGGGTGAACGAGATGGGGGGGGGGCAGCATTTTAACTTACTTAAAAAACAATGTGATCTCGTAGTTTTAAAAGCATCTGAAGCACCATCAGCTCCTTAAGAAAGCCTGCCCTTGGGCCGGGTGCAGTGGCTCACGCCTGTAATCCCAGCACTTTGGGAGGCCGAGGCAGGTGGATCACGAGGTCAAGAAATCGAGGCCGTCCTGGTCAACATGGTGAAATCCCATCTCTACTGAAAATACAAAAAAATTAGCTGGGCATGGTAGCACGTGCCTGTAATCCCAGCTACTCAGGGAGGCTGAGGCAGGAGAATTGCCTGAACCCAGGAGGCAGAGGTTGCGGTGAGCTGCAGTTGCACCATTGCACTCCAGCCTGGGTAACAAGATTGAAACTCCATCCCAAAAAAAAAAAAAAAAAAAAAAAGAAAAGAAAAGAAAGCCTGCCCTTTATGGAACTTTTTTTTCCACTTTATTGAGCATTGTTCCAGTTTACTTTTAAGCCCCTTGCAAGCTCTTATTATTTCTTACAGATTTGTATGCTCTGCCTGGATCATTAGTACCCATTGTTCAATGGCTTTTTGCTTTTTGTGCCATCTCCTGAACATTTTACCCGGTGTACCCACGGTGATGAAATTATGCTTTGATTTTTGTTTTTGGTATAAACATGTTGATGGTGCTGAGTTAACGAGTATTAGTGTCCAACTCTGTCACAAGATACTCACCACACTTTTAATAAAGTATTGTTTTCCTTGAAAAAAAAATTTTTTAAATCACAGATGGTTCAGAATGTTGTAAATACAAAATTGACAACCCAGAAGAAAAGGCATTGATTGTGGACAACCTAAAGCCGAAATCCTTTTATGAGTTTTTCGTCACTCCATTCACTAGTGCTGGTGAGGGCCCCAATGCTACGTTCACGAAGGTCACCACTCCGGATGAACACTGTGAGTTTTCCCAAGTCAAAGCTCTTCCCTTGGGAGTTTCTGGAAAACTAACAAATTACAGAAGTGTTGACTTAGGCTTTATCTGGATCAGGAATTTTCAAATCTTTTTTCTCCCCATCCCACCTCACTCTTTCTTTTGATGAAACTCTTTGTTTCACAAAAAAAGGGTTGCACAGACTCTCATTACATAAAACTGATATAAATGGAGCTAATCTGACTGATTAAGGCCTAGAATCTTCCTTCTGCCTCCCTCAGTGGCCCTTGAGACAGTTCTGTGGAACTCAGTCTTACTATCCTGTATGTAGTTTGAAAATCACAGAAAGCGTACTTTAGTGTTGATATCAGAAGAGCCACAAGGCTTCTGCCTAGAAAAGAGTGGTGCTGGTTTTCTCAGCAGAATTGTTCTCTGGAGCCAGCTTTCCTCTGACTAGTTTCCCTCCGCAGCAAACAAATTGCTTCTTGATTCTGCCAGGGCCTTTAGGGGCAATTAGAGATTGGTGCAGTGGGGTGGGAATTGGGCAGAGGCATGGAGTACTTGCTCGTAAACTCCCTGTTTGCATATTTGATTGGGAAATGTTGAGGTGGAGAGACAGATAGATCTTTTCAAAAATGCATTCGGCTTGAAAGATGGAGAAATAAGAGGGAAGGGAGAAAAACAGTAAGAATTGGTTGAAGGAAACATTTATTCTCATGGCAAACCCTGACATCCAATAAACTGGAATGTGGTGAGAGAAAATAGATACTGATGGAGGAAAGAGGAGAAAAGAGTATCTTCAATAAGGGGAAGGCACTCATGAAAAGCAAATAGAGTCAAAAGGCTTGCCTGAAGTTACCACCTTTCCTTAGTATAAGGTGCCCTCACTGAAGCTGGAGCTGTAGAGATGGGCACATTCTGTTAGACTGCTGACCCTGGAATGCCCTGACTGGTGATTCGGACACATGTGGCTGCAGTGGCAATGTATTAGTCCATTCTCACACTTCTATAAAGAACTACCTGAGAGTGAGTAATTTATAAAGTAAGGAAGTTTAACTCACAGTTTCACATGGGCTGGGGAGGCCTCAGGAAACTTAACAATCATGGCAGAGGGGATGCAAACACATCCTTCTTCACGTGGTGGAAGGAGAGATAAGTGCTGAGCAAAGGGGGAAAAGCACCTTATAAAACCATCAGATCTTGTGATAACTCATTCACTATCATGAGAACAGCATGGGGGTAAACACCCCCATGATTCAATTGCCTCTCACTGCGTCCCTCCAAGGACACGTGGGGATTATGGGAGCTACAATTAGAAATTTGGGTGGGGACACTGCCAAACCATATTCCACTCCTGGCCCCTTCCAAATCTCATGCCCTCACTTTTCAAAACACAATTATGCCTTTCCAACAGTCCCCCAAAGTCTTAGCTCATTCCAGTATTAACCCAAAAGTCCAAGTCCAAAGTCTAATCTGAGACAAGGCAAGTCCCTTCCACCTATGAGCCTGTAAAATTAAAAGCAAGTTAGTTGTTTCCTAGATACAATGGGAGTACAGTCATTGGGTACATACATCCATTCTAAGTGGGAGAAATTGGCCAAAACATAGGAACTACAGGCCTCAGGCCTCATTCAAGTTCAAAATCCAATAGGGCAGTCATTAAACCATAAAGTTCCAAAACTCTCAGAGATTTGATCTCCTTGGACTCCATGTCTCACATCTAGGTCATCCTGATGTAAGAGATATATGCTCCTGTGGTCTTGGGTAGCTCTGCCTCTGTGGCTCTGCAGGGTAGAGACCCCTTCTGGCTGATTTCATGGGCTGGCATTGAGTGTCTGCAGCTTTTCTAGGCACATGGTACAGGCTGTTGGTGGATCTACCATTCTGGAGCCTGGAGGATGGTGTCCCTCTTCTTACAGCTCCACTAGGCAGTGCCCCAGTAGGGACTCTGTCGGGGGGCTCCAACTCCATGTTTCCCTTCCACACTGCCCTAGCAGAGGTTGTCCATGAGGGTTCTGCTGCTGCAGGAAACTTCTGCCTGGACATCCAGGCATTTCCATACATCCTCTGAAATCTCAGCAGAGGTTCCCAAAACCTCAATTCTTGACTTCTCTGCACCCAGGTTCAACATCACATGGAAGCTGCCAAGGCTTGGGGCTTGCACCCTCTGAAGCAATGACCCCTTTTAGCCACAGCTGGAGGTGAAGCAGCTGGGATGTAGGGCACCATGTCCTGAGGCTGCACAGACCAGGGGGGTCCTGGGCCCAGCCTAGGAAACCATTTTTCCCTGTTAGGCCCTTGGGCCTGTGATGGATGGGGTGGCTGTGAAGACTTCAGAATTGGCCTGGAGACATTTCGTCCATTGTCTTGGAGATTAACACTTGGCACCTTGTTATTTATGCCTATTTGTGCAGCTGGCTTGAATTTCTCTTCAGAAAATGGAGAGGTTTTTTTTTGTAATGCATCACCAAGCTGCAAATTTTCCAAACTTTTTTGCTCTGCTTCCTCTTGAATGCTGAGAAATTTCCTCAGAAATTTCTTCTGCCAGATACCCTAAATCGTCTGTCTCAAGTTCAAAGTTCCACAGATCTCTAGGTAGGGGCAAAACACCACAGGTCTCTTTGCTAAAGCATAACAGGAGTCATCTTTGCTCCAGTTCCCAACAAGTTCCTCATCTCTGAGACCACCTCAGCCTGGACTTCACTGTCCATATCACTATCAGCATTTTGGTCAAAGCTATTCAACAAGTCTCTAGGAAGTTCCAAATTTCCCACATTTTCCTCTCTTCTTCTGAGCCCTCCAAACTGTTCAGCTTCTGCCTGAGGCCCAGTTCCAAAGTCACTTTCACATTTTCAGGTATCCCTATAAGCAGTGCCCCACTCCCTTGGTACCAATTTACTGTGTTAGTCCATTCTCCACTACTATAAAGAACTGCCTGAGACTGGGTAATTTATAAAGGAAAGAGGTTTAATTGACTCACAGTTTTGCATGGCTGAGGAGGCCTCAGGAAACTTATAATCATGGCAGAAGGGTAAGCAAACACGTCCTTCTTCACATGGCAACAGGAGAGATAAGTGCCAAGCAAAGGGGGAAAAGCCCCTTATAAAACCATCAGATTTTGTGAGAACTCATTCATTACCAGAAGAACAGCAGCATGTGTTCAATTACTTCCCACCAGGCCCCTCCCATGACATGTAGGGATTATGGGAGCTACAGTTCATGATGAAATTTGGGTGGGGACACAGCCAAACCATACCAGGCAGGTTGTGGCACTGACTGTATGTTGACTACTACACTGAAACCTGTCCCCAGGTCTCCAAGCCAAAATCCAGAACCCCTTCTCAGATTAAGATGTGTCAATGATTTACATTATTTGAGCACTCTTGTCATTTTGGAGTTAATTTTAAATTTATTTTCAGGTTAGTTTTTTTCTAGCTTTGGAATTTACTTGGTTGGTATATACACACATACAACACACACGCACACACACACACTTATCTTTAAGTATACATTTTCTAAGTTTCAGTCATCTCCCATATGTTAACCTCATTAGCCTTGGCTTGTGACTATTGATTATATTAGTATTTGAAATATTTGCAACTTTCCCGACAGAAATTTTACTTTTTTTTTTTTTTTTTTTTTTTTAGACGGAGTTTCGCTCTTGTTACCCAGGCTGCAGTGCAATGGGGCGATCTTGGCTCACCGCAACCTCCGCCTCCTGGGTTCAGGCAAATCTCCTGCCTCAACCTCCTGAGTAGCTGGGATTACAGGCATGCGCCACCATGCCCAGCTAATGTTTTGTATTTTTAGTAGAGACGGGGTTTCACCACGTTGACCAGGATGGTCTCGATCACTTGACCTCGTGATCCACCCACCTCGGCCTCCCAAAGTGCTGGGATTACAGGCTTGAGCCACCGCGCCCGGTGAAATTTTACTTTTTACAAAAAAATAGGTAGAATATTATGTGTTTAGCATCCAGTTAACTGTACCTCAGATCTTTCTGGATGGGAGTAAGGTATCCACTACAATGAGGCTGGAATGATTAAACAGTAAAAGCGAAAAAAACAGAAATGCAAAAAATTAATGTAATATTGAAATTGCAAAGTAGTGAATAAATGCTTATTCTGTTGGTACTTTTCAAAATAATTCTTTCTCATTGTAAATTGGTTTGTTAACTTTTTCTCTGATTAGAAGACTAGGTTATTAAATAGAGATAATGAGTCACAGAGAGGGTAAGCAATTTGTTTAAATGTGTAGGGTATCTAAACCAACTGTAATTTGTGTTTTTATATTTGGACATTTGGCACTACATTTCCTTGTGAATTTAATAGGCATTACTGAATCATTTTTTCAATCCCAAATATGGAAGTAGATTATGTTTCCAAAGTTTGTGTTTAAAATTAGCTGAAAATAGCTGACATGAAAAATACCAAGTGTTGATGAGGATGTAGAAAAACTGGAACTCCCATACCTTGCTGGTGGAAGTAAATTGGTACAAGCAATTTTGGAAAATTCTTTGATAGTATCTTCTAAAATGAGCATATATATACCCTAGATGTGAGAACCTTCACTCCTAGGTATATATGCCCCCAAAATGCCTAAATAAACCCTAAAGAAATACCCGAAGACATATACTAGAATGTTCATGACAGCACAACTCATGAGAGCTGCACACTGGAAATACCAGTTGCCCCTCAAGTAGAAAGGATAAACAATTGTGGTATATTTACACAATGGAATATCATGCAGCAATGAGAATGAACACTTTGCGTTTACAGAAATAATATGACTGAATCTCACAAATGTAAGGCTGAGTGGAAAAAGCCAGACATGATTCTTGCCCTATGATTCCATCTGTAAAGTACAGAAAAAGGCAAATGCTCTGTGCTGTGAAAGGATAGGCTAGTGGCTGCCTTCGGAGGGAATTACAACTGGATGAGGATACAAGAGGACCTTGCCAGGGAGCCAGTAATGTTGTTGTCTGGATCTGGGTACTGGCCACATGGGTGTGATCAATTTGTGAAAATTCATTGAGCTGTATACACTTATCAGCGTTTTTCTTCATGTATATATTATACGTCAATAAAAAGCTTAGCAAACCAGTCTGAAATCTGGAAATATGGTTGGGTCCTTGAGCTTGCCTTCAAATACATTAAAAATCCATAACTTAACCAAATTTTAAAACCAATTGCAATGATTGTGAAAGGAAAATAAAATTCACTATGCAAAGGAAAAAAATAAGCTGAAAGCTGATTCATGCAAGAAGCTAACTTTCCTTTTGTTTCTAAGCAGACAGGTACACTAAAAGGTTAAATATCTCCCCAGGTACCTACTCTATGTGTACCTTATCTTAGCCTCTCCAGAAAGATGAATACTTAATTGACTGTTCTTCTGCCTGTTCCTTTTCTCTTGAAACTTGTAGAAAACTATTCCTCTCCTCTTTCTCCTTCGGTCCACTTTTCCCCTTTAAATATTGAAGCCCCCAAAATTATAGTTGGAGAAAGGCACAGACCACGTAATGTTTCTGTGATTTTCTTTATTTCTTCCAGTCACATCCTTCACTTTGGCAAAATAAACTTCTAAATTGATGGAGACCTGTTTCAGATACTTTTTGGTTTACATGATCAAAAGTACTGTCCTTGAGAGCAAGGTTGTCCACAGTGAGATTCAGAAAGAGAGTTTCTTTCCCCTTCCAGGGCCAGGGTCAGTTTTATGCCAGTTGTTGAGGTGCTTGCTTTGGCCCTCTCTTACCTTTCTGGGTCCTTTTCCCTAGACCCCTGTGTTGCCTTATAGCACTGGCGTGTGCATCTACCCAGGGCCACCTTTCTTTACAAAATTCCAACATTACTCACCACACTACTGTTCCCAAATCAAGCCGCATTTCTTCCAGGACAGCCAGGTGTGGGGTGGAGCATGGAGAGGGCAGGGGAGGCTAATGGATTGAACAGAATCATATGTACATGTGAATAACTCTTAACCCCGGAGACCCTCCCTGAGCAATTTATATTTGTGAAAGGGAGTGTTTACCAACACAGCTGGATTATTATTTAGCGGAAATTGCAAGCAATGGGAACAGGAAGATGGTGTTAATCTAATATCAGAGAGACACTCTGTAAAAGAAAACATGTTTATTTAGGACTAAGGATTGCAAAGGAAATAAACAAACTATAGTAAACTGTGCATATTCAGGGAGGTAAAGGAAGACAAAGGTTTTTAAAGAAAAAAAAGGAGGATTATATAATTGCTTTGAAATAATTATTCTTCACTTGATCTTAGCCAAAAGGCCGAGAAGCGATAATAATTATTCTTGACTATAAAGATTAATAACAAGGTGATGCCAGTCCAAGGTCGGATGGGAAGATGTCCTTGCAGAAGCATTTTGTGTGTGTGTGTGCGTGTGTGTGTGTGTGCGTAAGGTTGCAATGACCTTTGTGCAAGGTTGTGGTTTTTGTAGTGTTGTTATCTGCATAGCCTTCCCAGCTCTTTTTGTCAGGGTTTCCTACCATTAGTGATTCTATTTTGAGTCTAACAACTTTCACAATGGGCATTTGAAATAAATGAACCAGCAGTTGAGAAATAAACATAATCATTATCCCAGATTAAGACATATTTAGGTAATCTGAGGCTAAGTAGAAGGAGTGTACTAGTCAATTTTTGATGTGTAACAAACACCCTCAAAAGCTCAGTAGCATACAAGAACAAATACTTCTTTTTGTACTCATGGATTTACAGGTCAGCTGAGACTTGGCTGATCTAGGCTGGGCTAAGCTGGACTCCAAGTTCAGTCAGGTTCAGGTTTGTTTCACATAGTTTCATTCTAGGGATAAGGCCGAAGGTGCAGCAACTGCCTGGGGCACACACTTCTCATGGTGGATTACAGGAGCACAAGAGGGCAAGCCAATGTATGCATGTACATTTAAAGCACTTACTTACAATTACCAAAGCCCATTGGCCAAGGCAAGGCACATGACTGAGCCCCAAGTCAAGGGACAGGAAAATATTCTCCACCTACCATGAAGTTTTGGCAGGAGTGGAAAGTCATGATCCAATCTATCAGAAGAGGTAACAAATTTGAGTCACACAATATTGATGGCAAATGGCTTCCTGTGTGGTTGGCTAGTGGCTAGTTGGTTGGTTAGCTTTTCCCTTGAAGTTAGGCAGAACTCAAGTTATACTGCAACTTGAATAAATAATTTGAGAAATAATAAACGTAAAATTACTCTCAATCATAAATTTATTTTTATTCCTTTGAGGGAAGGAAAAGTACTGATTAAAAATGTCCCTTTCTTTTTCCTTGTTCAGCCTCGATGCTGATTTATATCCTACTGCCCATGTTTTTCTGCTTCTTGCTCATCATGATTGTGTGCTACTTGAAAAGTCAGTGGTAAGTATGTGAGGAAGGTTTCATCCAAGAGGAGAGTCAGAGAAAAATCTGGAGAAAGACTTAGTAAGATAGAAATGACAGTGAATAATATGAAACAATGTACAAAAAAGGAAAAGGACAAAGGAGGCTGGGATGAGAATATGTAATTTATTTCACAATTTTGATTTCCAGGCCACTATATGAGGAAAGATTCCACAGAATTTTTTCAACAGCAATAGCTAATATTTATATCTCACTTACTATATGTTTGGCAGTGTTCTAAGTGCTTTATCAATTAATTCATTTAATCCTCATGAGGACATTCTAAGTACCATAATTATCTCCATTTAGCAGATAAGAAATTAAAGCATGGAAGAATTAAGTATCTTGCTTAATAAGTTACAAAGCAAGGATTAAAAGCCAGTAGGAATCTGACTCCAGAGTTCTTGCTCCTGACTATTCCACTATATTGTGAAATTCAGTCTCATTTTTTTTTTCTAGGATTAAGGAGACGTGTTACCCTGACATCCCTGACCCTTACAAGAGCAGCATCTTGTCATTAATAAAATTCAAGGTAAATGTTGGCAAATTATATGTATGCCATATACCTATTAAGGATGAACCCAGAGTGGGAGCTGTCAGAATCCCATTTTCCTAGAGCTTCTCAGGAAAATATAGCACAGTAAAAGCCACCTCTGCACCCACAGCTATGAAATTGGTGATTGGAGCTTTGATTTCTTCTGTCAGGGGAAAGGTTTTGGTTTTCAACATCACCTCCAGGTTATTTGTGACCCGGAAGAAACATAAACAACACTGAAGCTCTAAGTGTATTCCACATGCTTAATATACTTTGATGCATGCACACACACAAATGTTTATATTTACATCTTTTTTTTTCCTTTTTAGGAGAAACCTCACCTAACAATAATGAATGTCAGTGACTGTATTCCAGATGCTATTGAAGTTGTAAGCAAGCCAGAAGGGACAAAGATACAGTTTAGGAAGTCACTCACAGAAACCGAGTTGACTAAGCCTAACTACCTTTACCTCCTTCCAACAGAAAAGAATTACTCTGGCCCTGGCCCCTTCATCTGTTTTGAGAACTTGACCTATAACCAGGCAGCTTCTGACTCTGGCTCTTGTGGCCACGTTCCAGTACCCCTGAAACTCCCCCCAAGTCAGCTGGGACTAATGATCTCACCTGAAAATGTACAAAAGGCACTAGAAAAAAACTACATGAACTCCCTGGGAGAAATCTCAGCTGGAGAAACAAGTTTGAATTATGTGTCCCAGTTGGCTTTACCCATGTCTGGAGACAAGGACAGTCTCCCAACAAATCCAGTAGAGCCACCACACTGTTCAGAGTATAAAAGGCAAATGGCAGTACCCCTGTGTCTTGCCTCGCCTTCCCCGACCGAGAATACCAGCCTCTCCTCGATTACCCTTTTAAATCCAGGTGAACACTACCATTAACCAGCATGCCAATTGCATACTTCATGCTACACAGACATTAAGAGGAGCAGAGTTGCCACCCTCTCATCACCGGTGGCCTTGGTCCTTAATCCCATTACAATTTGCAGTCTGGTTTATATAAGAGCACTACAGTCTGGCTAGGTTAATGGCCAGAAGCTATGGAATGTAATACTCCCTGTTGGAGGAGGCTTGCCCTAGAAATGGCAGGATCATGGGAGCATGCTTACCTTGCTGCTGTTTGTTCCAGGCTCACCTTTAGAACGAGAGACTTGAGCTTGACATACGGAAATGCATTAACCACTCCACAGACCCCCACTCAGTACTGTACAGGATGGCTATGGTCCTGTAAGGTTACTGAGGAAATATTTCTGTTAGAAACAATTATTATTATTTTATTGAAGACTGAAGGCTTCAATAAAAGCCACAGGAGACTTATTACTACAGCATAAATTGTCAATGTAAATTTACTGAGTGTGTTTAATGAAAAACTCATAGATGTTTGAGGCCAAAACAGATTTGAGGCTTCCTCGAAGGGATAAGAATCTAAAGTTCATTGACACGGTAAAATTGGGGCGTAGATCTAATCTAATACGTAAAATGTGTGATGAATCAACAAGATTTCTACAATTCTGTCAAGCTTATTACAGTGAAAGAATGGGATTGGCAAGGAACTACTTACTGTCAGTTACACCTCTGCTCCATAGACATCAGTATTCTGCCATAATTTTTGATGACTACCTCAGAACATAAAAAGGAAAATATATCACATAATTCCATTCAGTTTTTGGCTCCTCTTTTCTTTCAAGAACTGTATATACATGACGTGTTTTCACTTAGCATCCTTTAGACTCTGTAGTAGGTTGCCTGGGTCAAGATAACTGTCACATTTATATTCATATCATGCTAAAATAATAAGTGAAACCTTGTTGTCGGACATAATTTAGATATAACTAAAAAGTTCTATGGAGTGGGAAATTCTGTGTTGGCTCTGGAGCAACTTGGTCTCCTCTGAACCAATATATGCAAAGCACTTGGTACACAACTAGTGTTTAGTACATGTTGGTTCTTATGGTGCAATCTCAGCTCACTGCAGCTTCTCCCTCCTGGGTATAAGCAATTCTCCTGCCCCAGCCTCCGGGGTACCTAGGGCTCCAGATGCACACCACCACACCTAGCTAGTTTTTGTATTTTTAGTAGAGATTGGGTTTCACCATGTTGGCCAGGCTGGTCTCGAACACCTGACCTCAAGTGATCTGCCTGCCTCAGTCTCCTCAAGTGCTGAGATTATTATAGTCATGAGCCACCACACCCAGCCTATTTGTCACTTTTTTTTAAATTTTTTGAGACAGAGTTTCACTCTTGTTGCCCGGGTTGGAGTGCAATGGTGTCACCTCGGCTCACTGCAACCTCAACCTCCCAGGTTCAAGCAATTCTCCTGCCTCAGCCTCCTGAGTAGCTGGGATTACAGGCATGCATCACCATACCTGGCTAATTGTGTATCTTTAGTAGAGGAGACGGGGTTTCACCATCTTAGGCTGGTCTCGAACCCCTGACCTCAGGTGACCTGCCCACCTTGGCCTCCCAAAGTGCTGGGATTACAAGTGTGAGCCATCACACCCGGCTGTCACATTTCCTGCCTGCCATTTCATTGGCTCTGCCAATGCTCGTGCCTCTAGTGCCCACTGCCTTGCACTGTGCCATTTAACACTATGAAGAGAAACAAGTAGCCACACCTCAAAATAACGTGGCTGTCAACTGGCCTAAATAAACCTACACAAGCCAGTACTTCCGTTTGAGCTTTTCTACTTTTTCCTTACAGGTAACTAAGCCTTTTGCTGGAAACATTGCTCCTCACATAGTACAAAGTGGTATCCTAATTAGTCTAACAGTTGTGTTAGACTTTAGGGCCAGTATTGTCAGCATTTATTTATGTACCTTTGTCATGATGGGGTATTTTTCATTTGAAACTTGTTCACAAAAATGTCAATGACATTGATGACTGATTTGTACATATTTTTCATATAGTTTTAAAAAATAATTCACACAAAACTTTGAAGTCATTTTTGCTATTGCAATAAACCTTAAAATATTTCATCATCACACTGTTTTATCTCCCTCAATGAAATGAAAATCTAGTAATTACTCAGTTTAGATGATACATCACCTCATGAACTTACTAAATAAAAATGTAAATTCCTGGATATGACTACAAACCTCTTAATCAGAATCTTTGGGGTATGGACTTAGAGTCTATTTTTCATCAGTTCCTAGGCATTCAGATACACACTAAACTTTGAGAATCACTGGCCTAAATGAAGTCTTTCTGAAATAGAACAACATGCCAATAGGAAATGCTGGGTTATGTAACTTTTGTCTTCATAATATCACTATGACCTATAGTCTTGGCTGTAAACATTTCCTCTCCAATGGTCATAACCAACTTAGTTCATGTTCAGAAACTTAGTTTTCAATTCTATATGCCACCTATTTTTTTTTTTTTTCTGAGACAGGATTTCACTATGTTGGTCAGGCTGATCTCGAACTCCTGACCTCAAGTGATCCACCCGCCTCGGCCTTCCAAAGTGCTGGGATTACAGGCATGAGCCACCACGCCTGGCCTATATGCCATCTTAATATGGCTTTAAGAAGTGTTATTTGGAAACTTTGAAATATTCATGTGTCAGAAAAATGGAAAATTTCAAATACACACAAAAGTAGAATAGTTTAATAAACCTCTGTCTATCATCTCCAGCCCCAACGGTCACTACCCATGACTGTTTCAGCTCCATCCATACTCCTGTGCGCTCTTCCTCCTTACATTATTTTGAAGCAAATCATGACTTCATGTAAATATGAGCTTCTCTAAATAAGCTCTACTTTTTCTAATATAGTCATAATACTGTTAAAAAATTGCATATAAAATCACAATTCCTTAAAAACATCAGGATATTTGGGTGGACAGGACTAGAAGTAATGGCCTTTAAATCCTACATCAGCCTGTGCACGGTTCTCACCTGTGTGCAGGAGACCTCTATGATTCAGGATGGGAGTTGGGACCTCTTCACAGAACAGTCATACACCTGCTGAACGCTTCCTACATTCAAACACCTAATTAATTCATACTAAGTAGGGTCAACCTTGTTGCCTACTTGACTCCTAAGATTGTCAAGGCTTAATATCTTGGTAACACTTCTAAGAGTTCTGTTGAAAGATATGCTTTCATCTCAAAGAATTTACAAAACATGTTAAAGCACTCTGCATAAAGTAGAACTTTTAAAACACTGCAAGAGAAACAATAGAAGACAAAGTTTTCACAGCTGTCAGTTAAAATGTTTACAACACAATAGGTATATTCAAATTGAAAGCATAGTTGTTTTATTCCTCTAAGCATTAAGGAAAGTTTTAGCATATTTTAGTTTTTTTAAATCAGTTTTGAAGTAGTACATATTTTTGGATATTTTATATGCTAAAGAGTTTTAAAAATGAAACAATCTTTTCCAAGTTTGGCATATTAGGACTTTTTTTCAAAAGATCAGCTGCATGATGATTTTTAAGTATGCTTTTTAGTTTATTTTGGGGCCAGCTAAGTTTTCAATGACATATACAGTGGAAGACATTGGGAAAAATGATACACAGAAATTTGCCAAACTATCCGAAACAAAATGTTTCTTGAAGTGAAACATGCATTTTACCATATTTTATTAACAGATCCTACACTTTGACACTCAACTTTATTCTCCAGAATTGGTCATTTCAGTGGTATTGTCGTTGGTCAGTCTGGTTGTAGGTAACCTTATCCAATCAGGGCAATTCATGCATGAGAAATAAATACCTTCCACAGAGGTCACCACTGTCATATCATCATCATTTATAATATTGTACATTATATTCTATCTAAAGATGATGACCCATTTTCCAAATCCCATGTCTTTATAGTTTTAAAAACTGCAAAGATGTTTGATTAAATTACCAAGTGTTTAAGAGGAGAATTGCTTTAAAATATTTGTCACAGCCACTCTATATGTCTGTGGGACCTAAAAGTCACTTTTGCTTGGAGTTACATATGTTAGCATCAGCATTACAGGACTCAAATCGAGGCCATATGACTGCTGACTGTTTTAAGATTTCAAATAAAACAATGGCAAAGAGTTTAAGAATTTTAAGTACATTTTATTAACAATGTATCCCTTTGATAAGATTATGCTTCAGGAGGCTTTTAATGCCATTGAAATAAACTGTACACATTATACAAAAACAAGAAAATCACAACAAAAAAAATCAAGGTGAGCAAAACCATTTGGGGACAAATCTTATTTAAATTATACACAACTCAATGAAATATTCTTACAGAAAAAATATAAATACTTTTTCTATGTTACAGTTATACAATATAAATCAGATTTCAATGTCTGTTCAGTGACCTACAAACATCAGAACCTCCAAATATGTAGCAGCGTATTACCAAATAAAAAAGAAGATCACGTGGTTAGAGAGCATTAAGTCTGAGATTTTTTTCATAATTCCTTACCACTTTTCAAAACTAATTTACACCATTTGTTTTACAATGCAGCTTTAGGGTTTCTGACAGGCATTTTTCTAACAATTACCTGTAAAATTTTTTTCACTCCCCCTCTATGCCACAAGACTTTGCATTTTGTGCTAAATCAACCAAGTAGCAAAACTGAAAGGTATGCTGTTTTTTGGCATAAATTATATTTTTGAAATTAAATATTTTATAAAGAAAGTAAAACAAAATGTGCAATTTATGCATGCTGTGGTACAGCTATCTGATACTTACATTACAAAAATACTCCAAATGGGAAAAAAGTCCACATTCTGTGAGTCATATAAATCTAGTAGGAATGAAAAATACCCTGGAACTTAGAACTAAAAGAAAAAAAGAATGCTCCTAGAAAGATTCTCACAGATTTCAGTGTTTTGATAAGCACTGCTATTAATTTCACTGGTATGCTTTTTAATGAGATTCCCACTGTAATGACACTCTTGAGATTAAGATAGTAACAGTGTATTTTGTTAATCCAGAGACAATGGAGACTTTTCTCAACTTCCATTTTGGAAAATCTGAAACGTTGGTTCATTCCAAACAGCTCTTCTAATAAAAGTTTCTCAGTTTTACCTTTTCTTTTTTCCCCATGTTTTAACGGATTGTGAATCTGAGACAAAACTGGAAGCCTAAGAGTAAACGGGGAAAAAAACTTACTTCCAAAGAACATCTTCCAATGTAGTTTATATAAAGTTCATCTCACACAAAATTAGCACCTCACTCTTACCATGCGAAAATAACTGCAGTTGTAATTTGAATGACAGACAATTTGGTTTTTATTGCTTAGTGATCTGTGCTTTAATGAGGGGATAAAAGGCATCCTCTGAATGGAATAACATTTTATATAAATAGCAGTAGGCAAATCTAAATAAGCATTGACATCCCACTGTTGAACACTTCACCATTGTGATATGCCCT